GCATCATAACTAATTTTCTGTCTTAATGTCACTGGAGAGGTATGTGGCCATCTGTTTCCTCTCAGACATGCAGAAATCACCACTTCTGAAAGAACTAAAATGGCCATTGGTGTTGTTTGGATGATGGATTTGATTCAGCCCCTCTCTGATTGTCACAAAGCAAGGCCAGACACAACAGGTAAGTGCAAATCAGGATGGTTTATTGACTGGGTAAGGGGATGACTGGAATAGGTGAGTTAAAGGCAGGTGAGTGTCAACACAGTGAATGGTTCCAGGGTGCTTATCTGAGTTCTGATGGTGAGGATCGGATGCCGGTTACGTTGGAGATCGTGGAACGGTTTCCAAGGAGTCGTTGGAGGATCGCGGGAGGAACAGCAGGTAATTCGTTCTAGGAGAATTTGGCAGAGAGAGTCCAGAGCAGTTCGTAGGAGTGAACGGTAGACCGGACAGTGAGTGACTGTGCTGTGTGTGTATTTGTAGTGTGGCTTGATTGGTGACAGCAGGTGCGGGTGATCAGAACTCAGGTGACTGTGATCGGGTAATTATTCTGGATGGTGACTGAAGTGACTGTGATGAATCCCTGACACTGATATGATTACTTTCTATGCTATTGATTCTACCAGTGCAGTGATGAATTTGTTCTGCTCAAGAACTACTCTTTTCAGACTTCAGATCTATAAGAAACTTGAAATATCTATCACTTGTGTATTTTTTGTGTCTGTGTGTTTTGTTATTATCTTAACTTATGCCTCTGTAGCAGCTGTGGCTAAAACAGCCTCCAGTGATAAAAGCCAACAAGACTGTTCTGCTGCATTTGTTACAGCTGGTTCTTGGTCTCGTATCCCTTTTAACAATTTATGTTCGTGTTGACCTTAATACTTCGGTAAACTTAATGTATATATATTTTTTGTAGTCTTTATAATTTTCCCAAGATGTTTAAGTCCTCTTGTATATGGCCTGAGAGATCAGGCTTTTGGCTGGTCATTTAAATACTACTTCACATTGGGTTTCAAAAGGCAAAACAGATGTAATACAGAGATACATTTAGTAGCAGGAGGTTGTAAAATAGTTTACTATCTAATTGATGTTACGATGTTCTTTAAAGTGCTTTAGTTAATAATATTGTCTTTCATTTTATTGAGATAAAGAGATCATTTTCTAAAACTGCAAAATATGATCTTGTGTGATGAGATATTGGAGTTCAACCAGACTAAAATAATTGCATCTAACAAAGAGATTAAATCTCAGTTAAAATGTTTGTCAGAACACACCTCTGAATATAATCATAAATATGGGAAAGAGTTTTACAAGGGTTTTCATTTTCAAACTCTTAAGTGAAATACAATTGCAAAAAGTTTGTACATTTACCCCCAAAAGGTGCATATTAGTACCTTAAAGGTACATATTAGTATCTTAATGGTACTGTACATATTAGTACCTTTTGAAAGTGTACCGCTGCAGTGACCGCTTTTGTACTTTTTTCTGAGAGTGTATATTAATGCATTTACTGCCTGACTTATTGTTAGACTTCCTGTTATAATAGACAACAAAACAATGAAAGAAAATTAAGTGTTGCTATTGACCACTTGATTGCTGACATCAAACTTTTAAATATGCAGCAAACCTGCGCAATGTTGTTGTATATGATCTGGCCTAAATGTAAAACAGGCTTTTTTCTTATTATGTATATTACAGTGTAATATAGGCCTACATAAAGAAACAATTTTAAGTCATTTAACATTAAAATTGGTTTAACTGCATAACTGCATTAGATTTTTTTACAAGACTTTTCTGACCTAAAACTGTGTATCAAAACTGAGAGCAATTATGCTACATCAGCTGACAAAGTTGTGTGTATCTGTTGACTTAATACAGCTGGAACTCTGTGCTGCTTCTATTTTAGTTGGAGTTATCCAAGAAGCCATTTATTTTTATACTGACTATATGACTTCATTGAATGTGATGTATTTTTGCTTTGTAGTGTTTATGATTTTTCTAAGATGTTTAAGTCCTCTTATATATAGTCTGAGAGACCAGGCCTTCAGCTGTTTCTTTAAAGGGGTCATATGATGATTTACATATGACCCCTTTAAGTATTAATTCACATTTGGTTTCAAAAGGAAAAAGATGTTGAAAAAAATGTTGGTACCGACATCCACTGTAATTACAACAGTGATAAATTTACGATAGCAAATTCTACTTATTTAACTGTAGGGGGCTGCAAAGTTGCAGAAGTACACAAAACCACATACAGTGGCTTTAATGGGTTTGAGTCGCTATTCATGATGAATGTTCAAGTGATTTTGTCTGGTGCGAGCAACAAGTTTTTTTTTTTTGTTTTTTTTAAAGCAAGTCAATGTTTTCAAAAACATGAAAAAAAATTAATGTTTTTGGCAGGGAAATAAGGTATTGACAACAAATCAATTCCCTATGGACAAAATCATGTTCCTCCAAACATTTTATTTTCTCTTTCTCATTTCACTCAGATATATGTTACAATAGGGATGAAAAGTTGATTCCAATTTCCACTTCATGCCCTCTTTAGTCGTGCTCATGTGAGTTTTGCTTAAAAATGAAAAATACTTTACATAGATTATTGTATGTGAAGAATGAAGAATTACCAAAACAAATCACATTTCTCAACGTTTTAAAGCACTTTTCACTGTTAAAATAATAAATCACCAGTTACAGCAGAACTAACATGGCCATCGGTGTTGTTTGGACGATGGGTTTGATTCAGTGTTTGTCTGAGTTGATTATCTTCTTTTGCATTGATACCACAAACACAGTGATGCCTTTGTTCTGCTCAAGAACTACTCTTTTCAGACTGCAAATCTATAAGAATCTGGATTTAGCTTTTAATTTGTGTGTGTGTGTGTGTGTTTTGTGTTAGTGTATTTTGTTATAATCTTTATACGTCTCTATAGCATCTGTGGCTAAATCAGCCTCCTGTGATAAAACGTCAGCCAAAAAAGCCAATAGCATTGTTCTGCTACATCTAATACAACATCTAATAATGCTCTGTGCTGCATCCATTTTAATCGAAGTGATCCAAGATGCAATATATTTGTATATTGATTATTGGACTTTGTTACATATTATGTATTTTTGCTTTTTAGTGTTCATGATTTTACCAAGATGTCTAAGTTCCCTAATATATGGCCTGAGAGACCAGACCTTTAGCTCTTTATTTAAATACTACATCACATCACATCACATCACATCACAATAATCTTTGACTTTCATTACTGAGATAATAAAATTATTATTCTTTATAATTGAAAAAATATGAATTGACATGGAGTTTATCCAGATTTAAACAACTGAACTTTGTTTTTACTAGGTATATATTTCCAAAACCAGATAAATTTAACTAAGAAACACTGTGTAAGACATTAAAACAATTGTTGTTTAGAGAATATATCAAGAATTGAACTTATTTTAATGTTCAAATCTGTTCAGATGTTTTTACTGGGGAAAAAAGACAAAATACTGATTAAGAAAATACTTTTTCTTCAGAAACAGGCATTTTTGCTGTTTGCTTTAGTGTTTATGATTTTAGCAAGATATCTAAGTTCCCTTTCAGTCAGTTATGTTCGACGTCACGTCGACTGACATTAGGGGTCTCACTCGGGAGCCCCAATCACCTCTGAGCTTTAGAAGAAAAGGCCAATGAGAATTGGCGAGTGTAATTTGCATGCCAAGTCACTCCCCCGTACATGCGGGTATATAAGATGGCGGTGTGCATCCACTCATTCAGGTTTGTGCTTCGGAGCCGATTGCTTCGTAAGCACTGCCTTCTAAAAGAAGAAAAGGAGTCTTCACCATCTGACAAGCTGCAGGAGTTCTCGGCTGTGGAGAATCTTCAGCTTTCTCTTTGCATTCAGCAGAGAGATTGCCCTGATTGCGCACAGATAAGTGCCGCGGTCCTTCCCTGGGCAAACCAGCCTAAAAGAGCAATTTCCTACAGCAAGCATGGTCGTCGAGAGTGTCTTTCGAGATGTCTTTCTGACCGTGTGCTTCTGGGTGCAGTAGTTTCCTTACCTCTGACGATGGTCACGACAGCTGTCTCACCTGTCTGGGTCGTAAGCATGCTGAAACGGTGTTCGTGGATGGCTCATGCCCACATTGTGAGCGCATGTCCATGGCTACGTAAAGGTCGCAGCTCTCATTCATAATGAGGCTTCCCTCGGGCTCTACCCAGCCCAGTTTGTCGGGTCGTAAAGACTCTGTGGCTGCGTTGGTTAGGGACAAGGGTGACTTGAGGATCACGGTCAAGAATGTTCCGTCAGGCCAGCCCCCACGGAAGTCTGGCCCCTCTCAGTGTAGCCCCGTTGAGCTCCCGGCAAATGGCGCCGGTTCGTCCCACGGCGGACCCAGCGTCTCTTTGATGTCTATGGCTGCATCAGAGGAGGGACTATCGTTTTCAGAAGCCGAAGATTCTGCTGAGCAGCCCCCCGCCGCAGCGGCTGCTCAGTCGGAGTCCGAGGCTGAGTCGACGGCCATGCTCCTCCGGGCGGCCAAGAGCATCGGGCTGGAAGTGAGCTCTCCACCTTTTCCCGAGTGCTCAAGGCTCGACGATTGGTATCTGGGCTCCGGACGTGACTCCCAGCCACGCTCCGCCCCAGTGCCTTTCTTCCCGGAGGTTCATGAAAAGCTCACCAAAACGTGGAAAGCCCCGTACACCGCCCGGTCACGTTTGAGCTCTTCTCTCCTCACTACCCTCGATGGTGGGGCGGCCAGGGGGTATGTGGACATTCCCCAGGTGGAGCGCGCGGTTGCGGTGCACTTGTGAAACTTGTGCAGTTGCGGTGCACTTGCGGTGCACTTGTGAAACGCCTCCACCTGGAGGAACCATCCGCGCCTCCTGTCCAAAGATTGTAAGCTGTCATCAGCCCTGGCTGCCAAGGCTTACTGTGCTGCGGGCCAGGCCGCCTCCACCCTTACACCAAGCAAAGGCACTAAAAAAGCTGCACGAAGGTATTCCTGACTCAGGGTTGATGCAGGAACTGCGTACAGCGACCGACTTTGCTCTCCGAGCGACAAAGGTCATGGCGCGGTCCCTCGGTCAGGTGATGTCCACCGTGGTGGTTCAGGAGCGTCATCTTTGGCTGAACCTGGTGCAGATGCGTGACACCGACAAAGTTCGCTTTCACAAAGTTCCCCGTCTCCCAGGCCAGCCTCTTCGTCGACACTGTTGAGGACTTTGCCCAGCAGTTCTCTGCAGTCCAGAAGCAGACGGAGGCCATCAAGCACATCTTGCTCCGGCGTGATTCTTCGAACCCCAAGCCGCCGGGAGCAAGGTCTTCGTCTGCCTGTCCCCGAGGGCGCCCCTCTGTGGTCTCAACACCTGCTCCGCCCCAGGAAACACAGAAGGAGGTAACTCCTCAACAGGGGCGTCGAGCTGGCCGCAGGAAGGGGTGCAGCTCGCTTCTCAGGGCGCCGCTAAGTCTTCTCGGAAGACCGTGAAGCGTCCCTGAGACAGGCGACCCAGAGATGACAGGAACTGTTCTTCAGGGGACAATGACATCTGCGCCCCCACCCCCAGGAGAGGGCCAAGGGCTTTCTCCACCGCTGTACCCACCTTCTCAATAAAAGAGCAATTTCCTTCATCTCTGGGTCTATCACACCGGGTTCTAATTGTGAGCGACGCGCTGCTTCCTCACACTCAGACTCGGGGCACAATTTCTCCTCTCAACACCTTGGAGTTGCAGGATGCACTGCTTCCTCGCACTCCACTGACTTTTCTGCGAGACCGGGAGGATCTGGTAAGTGCTGCTCCCAGCAGCTGGTCTCTACTTCGGGACGCTATGCTTCCTGGGTTGAGCCACCTTTCTTCCCACAGCTGCCCCTCCACGGGTATGTCGGTAACCGCTCTGTTGATTCCGCTTGTACAGAGGCTGGGGGCATGGCTAGTGCTGCCCAGCCCGTCTCTCTGGCTTATCCGGATGGTCCGGCCCGGCTACGCGATTCAGTTCGCCAGGCGCCCTCCCAGGTTCAGGGCATCCTTTTTACATCTGTCCCAATGGACAAGGATGCCTCTGTCCTGCATGCAGAGATTGCGGTCCTCTTGGCGAAGGACACAATAGAGCCTGTCCCTCCAGCCAAGATGAATTCGGGTTTTTACAGTCCCTATTTCATCGTATCCAATAAGAGCGGTGGGTTATAGCCAATCCTGGATCTGCGAGTCTTGAACCGATCCCTGCACAGGCTTCCGTTCAAGATGCTGACACAGAAACGTATTCTTTCTTGCGTTCGTCACCAGGATTGGTTTGCAGCTATCGACCTGAAGGATGCGTACTTTCATGTCTCAATTCTGCCTCGACACATACCGTTTCTTGGGTTTGATAGAGCCTGTCCCTCCAGCCGAGATGAATTCGGGTTTTTACAGTCCCTATTCATCGTACCAAAGAAGAGCAGTGGGTTACGGCCAATCCTGGATCTGCGAGTCTTGAACCGATCCCTGTACAGGCTTCCGTTCAAGATGCTGACACAGAAGCGCATTCTTTCTTGCGTTCGTCACCAGGATTGGTTTGCAGCTATCGACCTGAAGGACGCGTACTTTCATGTCTCAATTCTGCCTCGACACAGACCGTTTCTTGGGTTTGCCTTTGAGGGTCGAGCATATCAGTACAAAGTCCTCCCCTTCGGGCTGTCCCTGTCTCCCCGCGTTTTTACGAAACTGGCGTAAGGTGCCCTGTCCCCGCTTTGGGAGAAGGGCATCCGGATCCTCAGCTGTCTCAACGACTGGCTCACTCGCGAGATCTGTTGTGCAAGCATAGGGATCTGGTGCGTCAGCACCTCAGCCATCTGGGGCTTCAGGTCAACTGGGAGAAGAGCAAGCTCTCCCCTGTGCAGAGCATCTCCTGGACAGGACCTCGACTGCAGTGGCACATCAATTGCCTCGAGTTGCTAGCAGTGCTGCTTGCTCTTCGACTGTTGCTGCAGGGCAAGCATGTACTTGTAGTACAACAGTCCAATAAACAATAAGTCTGATATAGGTGACTTACATTTTATATTCAGATTCGCCAATAGTTTAGTTTTACAATAGTTTTAAACGCACAGCGGTGTTACCTAATGAATCTGTGTCTTTGAACCGATCGGTCTAATGAATGGTTCAATAACTCCCAGTTGCTTTAAACCAATCAGCAGTTTTGAATGAGTCATTTGACTGTGAGATTTAATGACTCACTCCTTGAAACAGTGACATGCAGCCACCTACTGGTTTTAACTGGTTTTAGTTTCATATTTAAAAGTATAATTACATTTTTCCATTCAGTTTATTATTTTATTTTGTCTTTATTTTATGAGATTGCTATATAAGTATAAACTTGCTTTAGCAGAAGCCAAGTTCTAGATGTCACAGTTTAAGTATAAAATATTTCCTCTTGATGTAGCCTATCCATGTTCATATCATATTACTAAATTCCTATTCTATCCCTTATCTAATACCTGTTCATTTATTTTTATTTTTTGCCCTCAGCTGAGGGGCTAAATGTGGTGAAGGTTAAATGCGTTTTTTGTTTTCAGTGGTGATTCGGTAACTAGTGCTGTTGAAAGAACCATCATCATTAAAGCTCAATGGTAGACAGAATGTTTTTATAAGTAGTCTATTAGTGAAATATGAGCTAAAAAAAATTAAATATAACAAAGACAATGAAGTAATTGCAATCACATTGCATAGAGTATTTTTTTTTTCAGTCTTTTTTTCTAAAGGAGGAGGAGCCTCCAGCTATTTCTTTGAAACTGGCCTCCAAATAGCAAAGGCCGCCTCTGACTATACGCTATATTGTCTGACAGCTATTAGTGAAATGCACAACGCACATACATAAATCACCCACTGGGATTCAGTTTAACAGTATTTAAAATGTGATGCTCTGCCATCTGTGCCTTCAACAGCACCTGTGAGGGAAGCGCATGCTGAAGATTTGCAGGACTTTGGAGATTGCAGTATTACTCTATTCAGTGTTCTGTAACAGCATCTTGATCTGATGTCTTATGCTACTGAAGATGTCTAATTTGAATGAATCTAAAACTAACCTCACTCAGACTCTGTTGGTTCTGGATCGAGATGCACCAATGAAGGCGTTTTTGTTTGTGACCCCATGTGTTATTTTCCTCTATGTCAATGGGGTCATGCTCTTCACTTTGAGGAAAAAGACTGTATTTCAGGAGGCATCCCGCTATATTCTGTTTGGTCACATGCTTTGGGTCGATACATTCAAAACCAGTATGACTTTCTTTCTTTTGCAGAACACTGAGAAAATATTTTGAAGAATGTTGGTAACCAAAGAGTTTCAACTTGCAATGTAACCAAAACTGGTTAAGCAACATTGATATCTTTATTTATGTTCCACAGAAGAAAGAAAGTCATACAGGTTTAGAGCGACATGAGGATGAGTAAAAGATGGCAGAATAGTCAGTTTTGTGGACTATCCCGTTAAGACCCTTGGGTTCAAGGCTGTTGGTTTAACATCTCATTTGACCAGTAGTGCCTTTTTACATTGTCATCAGCACTATACTGTGGCATTAAGCACAGGATGAAAACCCCTGGCCTTACTAATGCCACTTCCTGCAGCAACCTAAGCTTCCCCTCCATGGACTGACCAGGCTAAATCCTGTTTAGCTTTCCAAATGCTACTGGTTAATAGCTGCTGGCTGTTACTGACACTCTCCTTAAACCCCAATATGCCAGTGCATGTAACATAACTTCATAAAATGTCCAATATTACATTTTTTATCGGTTTGTGCATTTCTGACAAAGCACTTGTCAAGACACTTTATTTAGCTGAAAGAGCATTTCATTTTAACGTTAAATTCCAATAACGTTAAATTAATCAAATACAAAAAGAATTACAGAAAGATTAATTTACTGAAATCCAATTCCAAATCACAAAATAGACATGAATATAGTCAACATTTGAAGTGGATCAAAACCTTTCATCAAAGTTGTCCTAAAACCAAAACAATACCCGTTCTTGTCTTAGGACAACTATGCTGAATTTTTTTGATCCACTTCTAATGTTGACTACTGTATTTATATTAGATATTCACAGACTTGCCATGGTCCATAAATGTTATTTTTTAAATGAAATAGATTTAGACAATTCATATATTGATAAATGATATAATCTATTACTATACTGGAAATACTCTATAAACTGTGTACCCCTGGCCTTACTAATGCCACTTCCTGCAGCAACCTAAGCTTCCCCTCCATGGACTGACCAGGCTAAATCCTGTTTAGCTTTCCAAATGCTACTGGTTAATAGCTGCTGGCTGTTACTGACACTCTCCTTAAACCCCAATATGCCAGTGCATGTAACATAACTTCATAAAATGTCCAATATTACATTTTTTATCGGTTTGTGCATTTCTGACAAAGCACTTGTCAAGACACTTTATTTAGCTGAAAGAGCATTTCATTTTAACGTTAAATTCCAATAACGTTAAATTAATCAAATACAAAAAGAATTACAGAAAGATTAATTTACTGAAATCCAATTCCAAATCACAAAATAGACATGAATATAGTCAACATTTGAAGTGGATCAAAACCTTTCATCAAAGTTGTCCTAAAACCAAAACAATACCCGTTCTTGTCTTAGGACAACTATGCTGAATTTTTTTGATCCACTTCTAATGTTGACTACTGTATTTATATTAGATATTCACAGACTTGCCATGGTCAATAAATGTTATTTTTTAAATGAAATAGATTTAGACAATTCATATATTGATAAATGATATAATCTATTATTATACTGGAAATACTCTATAAACTGTGTATCTTTAATGTTTATTGTTATTTCAATAAATGTTTAATGTTAAACATATCTTTATATGAAATGTATGTAAAACTGCACTTACATAATTTATATGGATTTTAATTCTACATAATTAAATAAAAAATGTATTCATAATTCTGTTTGTGCTATCAACCTTACATTTGTAGCTTATTTTTTCGTATATCATGACTTAACAATACATGAACATTTATTAGAATATATTATTTGTAAAAACAAACAAACAATGCAGAGCTTTGAAGAATATTGCATAATTGCCAAGTAAGCTTTGAACAGACTTTTAAGTTCAGCGACATGAGGATGAGTAAAAGATGGCAGAATAGTCAGTTTTGTGGACTATCCCGTTAAGACCCTTGGGTTCAAGGCTGTTGGTTTAACATCTCATTTGACCAGTAGTGCCTTTTTACATTGTCATCAGCACTATACTGTGGCATTAAGCACAGGATGAAAACCCCTGGCCTTACTAATGCCACTTCCTGCAGCAACCTAAGCTTCCCCTCCATGGACTGACCAGGCTAAATCCTGTTTAGCTTTCCAAATGCTACTGGTTAATAGCTGCTGGCTGTTACTGACACTCTCCTTAAACCCCAATATGCCAGTGCATGTAACATAACTTCATAAAATGTCCAATATTACATTTTTTATCGGTTTGTGCATTTCTGACAAAGCACTTGTCAAGACACTTTATTTAGCTGAAAGAGCATTTCATTTTAACGTTAAATTCCAATAACGTTAAATTAATCAAATACAAAAAGAATTACAGAAAGATTAATTTACTGAAATCCAATTCCAAATCACAAAATAGACATGAATATAGTCAACATTTGAAGTGGATCAAAACCTTTCATCAAAGTTGTCCTAAAACCAAAACAATACCCATTCTTGTCTTAGGACAACTATGCTGAATTTTTTTGATCCACTTCTAATGTTGACTACTGTATTTATATTAGATATTCACAGACTTGCCATGGTCAATAAATGTTATTTTTTAAATGAAATAGATTTAGACAATTCATATATTGATAAATGATATAATCTATTATTATACTGGAAATACTCTATAAACTGTGTATCTTTAATGTTTATTGTTATTTCAATAAATGTTTAATGTTAAACATATCTTTATATGAAATGTATGTAAAACTGCACTTACATAATTTATATGGATTTTAATTCTACATAATTAAATAAAAAATGTATTCATAATTCTGTTTGTGCTATCAACCTTACATTTGTAGCTTATTTTTTCGTATATCATGACTTAACAATACATGAACATTTATTAGAATATATTATTTGTAAAAACAAACAAACAATGCAGAGCTTTGAAGAGTATTGCATAATTGCCAAGTAAGCTTTGAACAGACTTTTAAGCTTTGAACAGACTTTTAAGTTCCCTTTTTGAAAATGTCAATAATACTGACAAAATGTTTTGATAGCATCTATGATTACAAAAAAACATCATTTCATTTTTAAAATCATTATATCATTTAAATCAAATCATTATATCATCATTATATTTCCCTTCTGTGATTTTTTAGAAAAGGAAGTGCGTCTTTTGTGACTTAAAAGGCTGTTTTAGCCACAGCTGCTATAGAGGCATAAGTAAAGATAATAACAAAACACACAGACACGAAAAATATACATGTACATGAAAGCTATATCAAATTTCTTATAGATCTCAGAGTATCAAGACAAACACCCCCACTGGAACTCCCCTTCGCCTCAAAGTTAATTAATTATTATGTTCACTTTTTGTGCTGAAAAATATGTTTGTTTTTACACGATTGTTTGGGAATAGGCATTTCCATAAAGACTGACAAAGATGAGATTATACTAATAGTCCTCAGAGCCTAAATCCTTCACAAACACATTTTTAATAAAGGGTTAATCTTACAAGACTCGCTTCACTTCTTTTCATGATGAATAGAAATGACATCTGGATGTGACTCACTTATATTCACTTGAGCTGAATATGGCTGCAGCTGTGGACATCCAACAGAGTTGTAATTCAGAGCAAGTGAGTCATCAACAGATTCACAAGAAAAAGGCATTTACTTCTTCTAAAAGACTGTATTGTTTGTAAATCAATTTGATAACTCCTGGAACTCAATACACGCATCCATGTCTTCCTTTAGGGTTGTTATCGTTAAAAAAATTATTAATTACTTAAATAAATATAAATAAAAAATATAAAAAAATGTTAAACTCATTTTAATGTCAGCCATTTGCCAAGACACATTTAAATAAATAAATACAAGGGGTGGGGGTGAGGGATACAGAAAAGTTGCTGAAACTAACTAAAATTAATTATTAACAATAACTAGTATCTAATAATAGGCCTAATAGATAGGCCTACTAAAATAAGAATCTATCTTTGGTTTATTTTTTAGGCCTAAATCATAAAACTGCATGTAGAAACTACTTGATTCAGAAAGAGAAAATAGAGAAATAATATAGGCCTATTGTCATGTTGCAATGTAATTCAGGTCATATATGAGAGGGGTGCTAAGGTTAAACCAAAAACACATTGCAGTTCCTGTAAAACTGGATCCAAGCTTTGGATTAATTGCCATAGCACTGCTGAAAGAATAAGTGTACTTGCAGACCTGGTTGTGGCAGTTATGGCAGTAGGCCTTTTGACTGCAGAGAAAATAAAACTGCATATATGAACAAAAAGAGGCTTACAGATCATTAACAAAATTCAGTGCTGTGTAACACTAAAAATGCTGGGTTGTTTTAACATTTTTAATTGTTTTTTAATGTAATTTTTTTTGGTGTAAAAATTTTAACCAACAGCTGGGTTAGTCCATATTTGACCCAAAGTTGGGTTGAAACAACCCAACATTTTAATTGGATCTTGTAATGGTGGTGTAGATAAAAAAAAACAAAAAGTTTAGGCTACCATTATAGGTTCTTTTGACAAAACCTTTAATAACCACAGACTAAATTAAAATTTGTATAAAAATGAGTAGGCCTCTTAAGGTTATCTTTTTGGGTTACGAGTCCGACTCTCTAACCATTAGGCCACGACTTCCCTGGTAATAAAATAGCATATCGAGGGGGGGGGGTATATCACCCCGGGATCACCCCAAAAAATAAAAAAATTATCAAAAAAATAATAATTGAGAAAGCTGTTACAACATGTGTGTGCAAAGTCAGTAAATTGTAGTCCATTGCGATAACATTAACTAGCATTTTTGGATTAAAGGAAATTCTCTCTGGGTAAAAATGACCAGAACACAACATGAGGGTTAACATGGAGATTCAGCCTGCATATTATTTGTGCAGATTTTGTGTGCAACGATGGGAGCATTAATGGGAGATAGTGTGTGCAAATATCAGAGAAAATGTAAAGCATTTCAATAAAACAGCATGAAACATCTACATTATACAACTTTAGTCAAGTACATCCGTGTAGGACCTCAATTTATTAATAGTGGCCTACCAAAGCTTGGCTCATGTATATTAATCAAATAGCTTGATTGAACGGCCTATGATGATGACCTAGTAATGTCAACATGAGTTAATTAATATTTGTGAGTTCAGTCTGCTACATAGTGATGTTACAATCCAGCATGTAAAACTTCTTTAGTGTTAATTTCCACTAAATTGTTATCTGACAAACCTCTTAACCACTCTTTCCTCTTTGTCTTGTTTAGAAACCAGAAAATTTGACCCACGAAGATCTGGTGCGGAGAGCATCATCTCTTGTCACAGACAGTGCTAATACTTACCTCTCACAAACTACTCTAGCACTGCTTGATTCCTTCTCGGGTTATATTAAGGTAATCAAAACTATAATAGTTGTTTTCATTTTCATGATTAAAAAAAAAAAATTGCAAAAACAACATCAAGCATACTTGTCTTCTCTAGGCTATAAACAGTATTGTGACGATACACAAGCGCTATGTGGCTTCCATGAGCAAACTCACTTCTGCAGAGGAGGATGCAATCTGGCAGGTCATTCTTAGGCAGCGTCAGGAGGTAATGACTTGAAAAATACAGTGAGTTATTGTTCACAAGCTTTCAGATTAGAAGTATCATTTGCTGTATTTAGTGGTAGTTGTGTTTTTGTGACACTGTGGTTATATACCTTCTTTTTAATTAAATTGATTGCAAAGTTGTTTTTAATTGAATTAGGTAATTGACAGGAGAAATGATTGCAAACGATTTGAATCCTGCTGGATGACTGCCATCAATCTCTCAAAGCTGGCAGCCGAGGCGGCTTTCAATGCAGGTAGCTTTCATTTTTTTTGGAACAGGCATTTAAGGCTTTAACCCTTTAAAAGGTTAACCCTTTTTTTATGAACGTCGAAGATTTTTGGTTTATATATATAGGAATAAAAAAAAATCAGTGTTATTATTATATTATTTTATTTTATAAATGCTATTTATAAGTACGTTTTTTTTTAAATAAGTCTCATATTTATTTGATTAAAATATTATAATCTATAAAATATAATATTATAATAATTACAAATAATTTATCTTTTTAAATGTATGTTGGAGTGTGATGTATGATGGGAAGGCTACATTTTCAGCAGACATTACTCCAGTCATTCACCAGACATTACTCCAGAATCTAATATACTGATTTATTTATTTATTTTATTGTCACCAGAGGGCATGTCAACAAAAAGTTTTCTTGTCAGTTATTATAGAGCCATAATGCACATGAATTTGCATCATATTACTTTGAAATAAGTATGATTTAGGCCCTGTCCCAAATCGCACCCTAAACCCTTGCAGTCTTCCTCTGAGTCCGCACTTTCGTGACATAGTGTAGAGATCTGTTGAAATTTGGCACCTGCTCCCACTTGGTGGTCATTTGTTTAATTGCACTTTTAGCCATATGTAGAAATAGCTTAACCATGCTTGTCCTCTCCAGGGGCTGACCAAGCTTCTGTGACAGCACAGAACAGTCTACAGTTCACACAGTCCCAGGTGGAACATGTTCGACAGCAGATGCTGGAAGCTGAGAGACAGCTCAAAGACTCAAAAGCTGAGGACAGTGAGAGGCTTCAAAATGCTCTCAGCACTGCAATGGAGGATGAAGACGTCCCAGATGCATATCTACGAGAGGACTAGTCACATCAAGACAGCTTTAAAGTATCTTAAGCACTCTGATACAACAACCTGTACTACTACTGAAGCACAGAATTATATTTCTGTTTGATTAATAGGACAAATGCTGTGAGAATTTATGTAAATTAAGCATAAGTATTAAATACAAAACTATGAGGGCAGGAAAAAAGGATAAATACTTTCTAGATCAAGGGCTTCACATTTGTTTGTAATTGATAAATGCGATTACAATTGAATTAAATAGATTTAAATTTAAACCAGTTTTGCATTATTTTAAAAACAGCTGTTTCATTAATCAAAATCTCCTTTTTTACTGTGTTGACAATGTGTTTGAGTTATGATTACAGACAGATGCTACCTTTGTGATTAAATAAACAGTGAAAAATATTTGTTTTGATTCTCTATTTACTTTACATTTATTTTGTTTTCATGATATAAATGATTTAAAAAAAAATCAATTATCATTTTATTTCAAACTATTTCCTCATTTTCAGCCTGTTCCTCTCAGTCATCCATGATAAAGAATCTACATCAGTATATTACACACTAATACGTTTTTAAAACAATCTATTAAAATTTGATTTGTGAAGACCTCCCTTACCTCCCTAGACCTATATTTGCAGTATCACTAAAATATATTCATGTCTCTCTCGTTTGTCTCCTTAAATTTCTCTTGCCATTCTCAGCAACAGTAATGAATCTCCTATCAGACTGGTTTTTCAGAGCCAGCCTTCCAACGACTCTCGTCTATCTCCTCTAATCGCCACCTGTTGTTTCCTGTGTTGTGTGCCTTCAGGGCTCATTAGCAGCATATCCATCATGTCAGTAGAGATGTTGTCTGCCTTTGTGGCATTCAGAGTTTTCTATTTTCACTTATCACTTCTCAGTCAACTCTTCAGAGCCAAGGTCATATGTCATTCTTTCATCCTTTCAGATCTGAATCTAATCAGATTTATTTATTGTTTGATTCATGGCTTGTAGGTTAATGATGATGTCTAGATTTAGCAGAAAATTGATTAACAACCACAAGGTGGCGATATAAGAGAAATAATAGTTGGCATGGAAATAACACTTCTGTAGCTTTAACAAGTCTGTGGTGTTAACCTTATGTTTGTTTCATTGACTATTCATTCATTAATTTATTCAATTGAAAATTGATGTAGAGACAACTTGATTTAAAAATCTATTAAAGAACTTTGAGAAACAAATTTTCCTAATATCTCATTTATTTTAATACAATTCATTCTGCTATTAGGCCTAATTTACAAACGATGTGGTTTTTAGTTTAGAGCTACAATTTCAAACGATGCTTAGAAAATTGTATGAAATGCACAACTAAATCAGTATATTTCATATTGACACTTTTTAACCTTCTATTAAAATGTTATTTGTGAGGACTTCCCTTCTAGACTTTACAATATCATTTTTAATATCAATAAAGTATATTTAAAATGGTAGAAAATGTCGGCTACAACTAGATTAGATATGATTGAATAGATGATGATGAATACATTACAAACTCTGCACTTGCATATTATTACTCTTTCATTGCTTTTGATAGCTTCTTATGTCCTCATTTGTAAGTAGCTTTGGATTAAAAGTGTCTGCTAAATGACAAAATGTAAATGTAATTGTAAAAGCATTTTTTTTTAATAATTATGTTTGTTTAGCTATTGCTGGTTCCTAGCGAATCCTGGTTCCAGTATCAAAAACAATGTGGTATTTCTAGTGTATTCTTTACCTAACTTTGGTCAACATAACATGAAGACAATAGAATAGTCAAAAACACTGTTCCTTCCAAGTCATCATTCTGGAAACTCTGACATCTTCATGGGAAACAGCTTGCTAAATGGACAAAGTAAACTCCACCACGGTTTATATAACTTGGTTTGGTTTTATCCTATCACTGACTGCCCTCTGCGACCATTGTGATGGAAATTCATCTAGGACTACATGGATTTGGACACTGGATCCCACTTCAGAACTTCACTAACATCCCAGAGTTGACTGAACACTGAAGTAATTTGGGGTTTCCCGGACTAATCAAAGGAAAGCCCATAGTCGGCCCTGACAGCAAACATTTCGTTTTTGATCTTGCACTCTGTATTTATAAAGCAAAAGACTTGTTTATTGATTCCAAAATAAAAGAATGAGAATAAAAAGAACGCTTCACATTGAGTGATGGGGTTGAACACAAAAACGAGAACACGAATGCATAAACAGCTCTTCCATCCTTCCAGCAGGCATCAGACACCCTTCATTCCCTGCAACTCGAGTGCTGGTTACTGGCATGCTATATGATGAAATTAGACACATGATTTATTTCCCAAGAGGGGCTGTTCTATGTTACTTGTGTAGGAAATGTTAAAAACTGCAGCTTTATGAAATACTGTAGTGTATTTAAACTATAGTGTGCTGTGCACGGAGGGAGTTAAGTCAGGACGTGTTGGTACAAAAGAGAGTGCACCAAACCTCCTCTTTTAAGGGTCCTTGAGGACTCATGCAACATTCCTGGAGCAGGCAACACCCTCGGTGCACTTCCCGGTTTTACAAAATGCAAGGGTGAAAAATAGTGTTTTCAGGAGTAATATATTAAACATTAAAGTGTTTAGATTGAGGAAAATCTTTTAGGCACGTAATGCTTGATAAATTACAAAAACACTTTGCAGAGTTTGAAACGACAGGTTCGAGCAATTGCATTTCATGTCCATTTGTTCTGGTTCCAAGACAACCTCTGGAGCAAGATGAGGACTAAATCAGCTGCACTATCACTCGAGTTCAGGATACATTACCATTTGAATGTTACCATAGCATCACACTATTAGAGACACAAAACCTCTTTGAGGGAATCTTGCCCAGTGACTAATTTAAAGGGTTTTGTTGCTATCTAATGAAAATATTTGTAAATTAGACATATAGTTTTAAAATTAGGGCTTTTTCATGACATTAATGTAATGATTTGATTCATAGAAAGATTATGACTAAAGACAGTCATAACTGGTGTTTCAAATACAAACCAAATATTTCTAAATTAGATAAAATGTTGGCTATTTTTCTGTTTCTCTGATGTTTATAGCAGTCATAAAGCACAACATAAAAACAAAATTACAGATAAATCTGCAAAAAGTGACTGTAGTTTAATACATTTTATATATATAGCATTAGACCCTGGACCACAAAAGCAGTCATAAGTCGCACAGGTTTATTTGTAGCAATAGCCTACAATACATTGCATGGGTCAAAATTATAGATTTTTCTTTTGTGCCAAAAATCATTAGGCTATTAAGTAAAGATCATGTTCCATGAAGATATTTTGTAAATTTCCTACCGTAAATATATCAAAACTTAATTTTTTGATTAGTAGCATGCATTGTTAAGGGTATCATTTGGACCCTCATTTGTACACTCAGATTCCAGATTTTCAAATAGTTGTATCTTGGCCTAATATTGTCCTATCCTAACAAACTTATTTATTCAGATTTCAGATGATGTATAAATCTACATTTAAAGAAAAAAAAATAACTTAAATGATTTTAGCAAATGGCTGCAATATAACAGAGTGAAAAATTTAAGGGGGTCTGTATACTTTCCGTACCCACTGTATATATATATATATATATATATAGATAGATAGATAGATAGATAGATAGATAGGCATAAAAGCAGATAAATACATTTTTAAAAACTTTCATCTTCTATAAACCTATTTTTCATGACTCTGATGTTTACATCTTAATGCCATAATAAAATAAAAATATAGGTAAATCTACAAAAAGTGACTTTAGTTTAATAAATTACATGCAGAATATATAGCCTCTGGAAACTTTAGTATAATAATAATAATAAATAAGTCTATTTTTCTCGAGACTGACAGATGTTTATATCCATCTTAATGCCGTGGACCACAGATAAAGCCACAAAACAAGACTTTAATTGGACCCAAACCCTCTAAAGGAATCTTTGTACTGTTGTCAGAACCTACCTTGCTCATTCTACATTTTCACTTTAATACAGACACAAACATCCAGACATAGAGAAGAAATTAAACTTTATCGATCCCCTGTCACACATTAGAGAAGAACTGTGGGATAAACATCAGAATTAAGTTATTCATCATCATAAAATTGTCAGTCACCCAGTGAGTAAGTCCTTCTTGAATTTTTTAATCACTTGGATTAGCTCATAAATAGTCCCTCTCTCACTGCCAGGTGAGAACGTGTGCCCAGTTTTCCTTCACTTTTTTCCACCTTTTCAAAATTAACAAATGGTGAAAGAATGAGTTAGCAGGAAAATTGGCTTTTAGATTAATTCCAGTCCAAACAGTAAGGTGAAACACTGGCACACATTACAGCAGTTGAAGAAAACATCGAATAAAGATGTTCATAAATTTCCGGAGTCTCCCCCAGAACATTATTTTCCAATAGGCATCCCTCACATTGAAAACCTAAACTCGCCTGCGTCTAACAACCAGAAAGAGAGAGAATTTATTGCTCAGTTCATGGATTGTCTTAGAAAAAACCGAGTCAACAAACAACAAAAAAGGGATTTAGGGTTTAGCGGGAGGAACGATGATGATGGGCCAGAGTCTTTGTAAACCAAACCTTCTGGGTACAGATGGACAAAACCTCTGCTGAATGGATGGAGTCACTCTGTGAGATTGTTGACGAGGAGATGTTCGGTTCATTTATGCTGCTGAAAGAAACAGATCCTGAAGGAATGAGACGCAATGCTCTCTTCCGAGGGGTGGTGGGAGAGTCTGGGGATCGCTGTCTTTGATGTGCTGTTTTCATGGAGGAGATATCAGAAACAGAGTGAGCTGACTTTGTTTATGGTGCATTGCGACTCATGGGAAATAGTTTAGACAACTTCATAAAGGCCAAATCTACTGTAAAGATACTCCCTTTTATTTTTGTTTTCAGTTATCAACCTCTTTTTCTTGCACGTTGTGATCAACAATGCCCTGGAGATAAAATATTAATTCCTCTGTCCAATAAATCAAAGTAACAGTAGGGGGGAACAGGGTAGCATATAGCCTCACTTCTTTCTTTGCTTTCTAGCTCCTAGCATCCAGATAAATGAGTGAGCAAAAGCTTATCCTGGTTGGATTGAGACACAACAGAAAGTCAACAAATTGCTGATCCGGCATAAATGGGGTGGAGCTATTAGCCGCCCAGTGCTTTTGTTGTTCGGTAGGATTAGTGTGTTAATTTCTATATGTCCCAATTAGACTCAGACCAAGAGGTAAAGGCAATGGGGTGAGGGGTTTTCTTGTGGCTTTGAGGCAAGAAGCACAGATTGGAATCTAGATGAAATCTTAAAAAGGGGGCTGAGTGGATTAGCAGGGGGTAGGGGGATTAAGTCTGATGCTAACAGAAAATTAGCGCCCATTTGTGGGACTGGACCAACAAGTGGGACAATTTACGATGACAATCCCTCCACTAAGTAACAGAAGTGTTAAATAGAAACCCAACTTTTCTTTTAATTCTTTTGTTCCTTTACTTCACAAATTTGGCGGGAATGTTGCCATTTATTGTTTCTATATAACATTGTGTGCTCATTGGTACAATTGGCATTAAATTTTGAATGCGTTTGAATATGTTATATTTGATGTGAGCTGAATTCTGAATTCAGCCAAAGGCTTTTGCAGTATATGAGGAAATTTGTATAGTAAAATTATGACCAGTCAGGAGTCTACAGCTATTTCCCGAGGTTAACAGTAGCCATCTGTCGCGAAACTTAAAGGTGCAAAAAAGCGATTTCTGATAAACGATGTTAATTTTTAAAATCACCAAAACAAACAGGCCCCTACAAAAGGAAAACACCCCAATCTTAATAGCCCCGCCCCCAAATTCACAAACATGCTATGCAACCATAGACTGTATAAAAACATGGACGTAATGTCCGTGACGTCACCCGTAGATTTCCGAAGAGCGTTTTTAAAGCTCAAAAGTGGGCGGAGGCGGCCGTAGCCATCTTGGCAGCGCGTCACTCCCGGATAATCGAAAATGGGCAAAGAGGCGGGAGCAGGTTGCTGAAGCCACGCCCACCTAGCTCGACAGTGGTGGCAGAAAGGCAATCCACCTGTCACTCAAGTGGCCACGCCCTTAATTATGCAGAACTTTAAGGCTTAATATAATTTAAACGGATGAGTTATAAAAAAATTCACCCCCCTCACAGTTGTCATGAAGGGCAAAATTAGCTATATAGACCAAAATCATTTTTTGAACCAGGCTGTAAACATGTTTTTTTTCTGCTGTAAAGTTGGGCATTTTAACATGGGGAGTCTATGGGATTGACTCCCTTTTGCAGCCAGCCTCTAGCGGCCAGTTGATGAATTACAGTTTAAGTCACTTCCGTGTTGGCTTCAGGAGAGAGAGCGGGAGGTTGCCGCTTGTATGCAACACAGGCACCTCCCCCATTATGAGTGGACACGCCCCTGAATGCTGATTGGCTACAAGTGTGTTTTGGCGCTGGATCCAATCCACTTACAATGGCATTTCTCAGAAATGGAAGTAGCAACAGATATTTTCTTCATTATTATCGATATGTGATTATCAAAAATTATTATTGAAAAAAAAAATAGTGTAGCCTATGAACTTTGTTTTATGCATTGGTTGTTGATCGGATTTTTAAATGTCGGCGTTGTACCCAAAATTGAAGGTAGATAAACGTCAGATTGTTGGCTGCGAAATTTTTACAACAATAACATAAATTTACAGGAGTGAATTTTCATTTCATGCGAACTCTAGTTATTCACGGGCTTGCATGCATTTTCCTCCCGATTAAACAGAAGGTGGCGCTATAACAGTGAAAACATGCATGTGAAACTGCATGCATGCAATGCTTCGTAACATACAACAAATATAATCATAATGTACACGAATTTGTGTTAACAAATATCGGTAAAACAAAACAGTCAGAATATGAGATATCTTCTTGCAGACTCCGATAAATTGCTACTTTCAACTAAACTAGGCTATATTTGATTTTATGTCATAATTTGTATCTGTATATATAAATAAACTTGATGATCTATATAAGTGATCTATATAAGTATATAACTTGATGATCAGCCAGCTAATTTTGTCCGTTATCTTGTTTAGCAAATAATGGTCTGCATGGACTGCGCTTCAGGTGAGACAACACACCCCCATAACGGAGAGGCGGAGTGGTACGGTCCAGACGCAGCCTTGTCCCTATGGAGTTGTTGCTGAGGAGCTTTCAGAGTTTCGGAGAACGAGAGAAGCTAGAGCACGGGCGGTGATATGGCGCTGACAATGACTGCCCATTATCTCAGGAATAACCCGATCCACCCGGGACTGAATGTTAGAGTCCTGCTCATGCTGTCATTTATGTCAGGTAGGTTTGATCATTCCTTATTTGCTGTGTCGTGCGCGCAAGCCCTTGGCAAACTTTGGGGGAATCCAGCGGTCTGTGGAAAGTATTGAGCGCGTGAACATGACGCCGTCCAGGCTCGCGGACAGTCCTTTAAAACGTCACCGTGCAACGTCGTTTGTGCCACAAAAAGTTTCTAAAACGTAGGTTTAGCCGATTTAATTATGGATACCTTACAAATATTTCCTCTAGAACCCACATCTAGCCATTTTAATTGTACCAAGTCCGCTATTTTCCCTCAAATTACGCTGATTGTGTGAACGCAGGAATCTCGCACGAGGACTGAGATTCAGCTGCCATGGAAACATCCTAGCAGAAACTGAAAACAAACAGTCGGTTTTTTATATATATAAATAAATAAACATTTATTTCTAACCTCACGTCTTTAAAGAATAGTCGGATACTCGAAGTAACCCCTTGACATTTATGTTGGCAGTGGAAAGCTAGTCATTGTTTGCCAGCTCGTAATCCACGCCAAATGTTGCGCTCTTTGTTTGTTTGTTTGTTTTTTAAGCGTGGTCGTAGCAGAAAAATAGAGCTTGTTTTTATTTGCTTCGTTTGTTGACTGGAAGTTAATCTGAAAATGGACTGAACTAGAAGTTTGTGAGCCAGATTAGCAATTCAGTTTCAGGTAACTTCATCAAGTAGTTTATGTAACTTTAAGTGACCCAAGTTTGACATTTGCATTGTTAGGCGCTTATTTGATTTTGCATTTTGCTTGCTAACGCATCTCTGTAAAAAAAATATAAAAAATAAAATAAAACAAATTCAATGTAAGCTTGCTACCTGGTTTCCAGCTGGTCTAAGGCGGTTTTCAGCTGGTCATACCTGCAACCTTGCAGTTCATTTTAAACAAGATTTTCCTACAGGCACGATTCTCGTTGACAGTCAAACTCATTCTGTCCCTGACTGTCCGGGTGTCTGCGAGCACACCTGTCACGACCGCAGTTGCCTTCTTTTAGCAACGGGCTTCAGCTGTGTATCATTTTGCAGCTGTAGTGGACACATGCAGGCAGAGGTCAGACCACAACACCGCACTCCGGCTCGTGCAGAGTGAGGCGGTATCCATAGTGACCGGTTTGTCTACGCGAGATGGCGTCCTCGCGCCCCATACATCATTCACTCACTCACAGCAAATTCCGTCGTTCTCCAGTATTTGTCTGGCCTTGGGCATTAAAACAATTGTCGTTTTTGTCTCTGACATGTAGGTAAATCTTACAGTAAACGTTTGGACCGAGATGGAATGTTTTAAAGCTTTACTTTGTAACTGTGTCTTTCATTTGCATTTTTATTGGTCTAGGAGCAAAGGTTGGGACTTATTCTTAGTATTTTGTGGCTTATAAACATCCTGTTCTTTTTAAAGGGATACTTCACCCAAAAATGAAAATTCTGTCATTAGTTACTCATTCTCATGTCGTTTCAAACCCACAAGACCTTTGTTCATCTTCGGAACACAAATTAAGATATTTTTGATGAAATCCGAGAGCTTTCTGACCCTGCATAGACAGCAATGTAAGTAACACGTTCAAGGCCCAGAAAGGTAGTAAGGACATCATTAAAATAGTCCACGTGACATCAGCGGTTCAACCGTAATTTTACAAAGCTACGAGAATACTTTTTGTGCACAAAGATAACAAAAATAGTGACTTTTTTTTACAATTTCTTCTCTCCTGAGACAGTCCTCCACCATTATCGTCCCTACCACGACCTTGTTTACGGGCAGAGGAATGCAGTGCGCATACGTCGTTGTACTCTCGATAATGGCGGTGGATGGGAAAAGGAGGAGAAGAACTGTTGAATAGTTGTTATTTTTGTTTCCCTTGCGCATAAAAAAGTATTTTCATAGCTTTGTAAAATTATGATTGAACCACTGATGTCACATGGACTATTTTACCAATGTCCTTTCTACATTTCTGTGTCTGGGAACATTTCAGTTGTATTGTTGTCTATGCAGGGTCAAAAATCTCTTGGATTTCATCAAAAATATCATCCAAAGATGAACAAAGGTTTTACGGGTTTGGAACGACATGAGGGCGAGTAATTAATGACAGAATTTTCATTTTTGGGTGAACTATCCCTTTAAGGAGACAAATGTCAGGCCAGATGCCTGACTTGCGCTAAGACCTTGTGTCCAGCGGGGTCAGCCACTGCGTCTCCTGTCCTTAGGTTTGTCCAAACATGGTGTGGTTGTTCCCTGCACTGCAGTGAGTGATGGCAGCAGGGGAATGAGGAGAGAGAGGAGGAAAGAATAACAGTTAAAATACCACACAAGAGCTGGGGATTAGCCCTGGCATTCCACTCTGTGTATCCCACCCTCCCTCCTTCCCTCACTCCCGGTCTTTTTCTACCTCTCTCTCTCGAACTGCTCTTCGCACCATCTCATTCATGTCGTCTTAATTGCTTTTCTCTCTCTGTCTCTGTCACCGTGTTCCATTTTTATCCCTGAATCAAATTGGTTGGTTAATAACTTGGACTTTAAATTTTCTCCCAGGCCTTTTTCTTTGTTAAAGGCATATTTTCTCCACGCGTCGTGTTATTTCAGTCGAGTGATATAAGTATCTAGACTTTTTGTATAGATATCATGGTACTTTCTATGAATAGGGTTTACTTAGTGTTCTGTTACTGAGCTTGAGGTACAAATTCCATGTTTTTGTTGAAGACTATTGAGTTTCCTAAAGTATTTTCTAACGTAAGATCAACAAGTATGAATGGTAAGTAGTTTTAAATGTATCAAATGTCAGTGTTTGTGACCTTTCTGTACTTATTTAACAATTAAAATAGTGCAGCAGTGTCATAATTTTGATATGTTAAATTGCTATTTAATTAATTGAAGTAAAACTATTTTAATCTAAAATTTACATCCTTTTGAGACCACCAGAGACGTCTGGAGAATTCCAGCATAATCACTAGAGAGAAGTCTGTAGTTTCCAACAAAAAAATAAATAAATCTATTCTGCCTGAGCACTTGATTTGAGTAATAGTTTGTAGTATCACATGCTACAAACTACACTTTAACAACCAATAATACAAATTCATGTTGACGACATGGGGAAAAAAATATTTTCTGTTACCCTATTGTGTCAGCCAAAACCCCTTTTCCACCAATAGGGAACTGGTGTCGGATCCTGGTCTGGAAAAATCAGCATCTCCGGGGGCCTTAAATTCATGCCAGTCCCGAACCAGGAACCACTAATATCAGAGGCTAATAAAATTTGCACTGAGTAAATTATATAAATAACTTTTTTTCTTTCTAACTCTTCTTTGACTGTCATCTTGACTCTCTTCTCTGTGATCCATAAAAGCACTAAAAGGTGATGTGGGAATTGAAGCATTAGTGGTGTTAAATGCAATCCTTTCAACACTCTCAATCTCTATGTATTTCTCTAGAGCTTAAATCACTTCTACCCGGCCCCCTGAGTGCTCTCTCTTATCAAGACAGAATGGACGGGGCCGGCGGTGCGTCTGCGAGTAAGCGCCATCTGTAACATGATTTTGTTGATAATGTTGTAATGCTTGTGACATGGCATCTGTGAGGTAAAACAAAGTGTTCTGTCCACAGGACCATTAAGGCATGAATACATTGATTGTACACATTAAGATTAGCCAGCTTCCTTATTCATTGTTTATTCATGAATAACCTATGAAAAACATGCATGTTTTGTGGTTGTAGGAGTAGAGATTTCTCCACTTTGGCACTCCAGGTCACGCTGCTTTGGAGCGAGGTTGAATAATGAATGACCTCTTTATATAGACCCTTTCATCTGTGCTTGTGAGAGCCGGTCGGTGCAGGGGCACATGGTGGAGAGTGAGCTCACCTTCTGTACCGGTTATGATTCTGATGTCGCCCCTCTCTGATTAACACTCTCCCAGAGCTACACATGTACACTACTGTTAGAAGGTTTTTTTTTAAATAAGAAATTAGTAGTTTTATTCAGCAAGGATGCATTAAATTGATAAAGAGAGACAGTAAAGTATGTTACAAATGATTACTATTTTAAATTAATGTTATTCTTTTGAAATCTCTGTTTATCGAATAATCCTGGAAAAATGTCATGGTTTCCACAAAAAAAAAAAAAATTTAAACAGCACAACATCATTTCAACATCGATAAAAAGATGTTTCTTAAGCACCAAATCAACATATTTGAAAGATTTTTGAAGGATCATGTAACTGAAGACTGGAGTAATGATAACTGCTGAAAATTCAGCTTTGCCATTTAAAATGTGTGTATATTAAAATAGAAACCAGATATTTTAAGTTGTAATAACATTTGACAATATTACTGTTTTACTGTATTTTGATCAAATTATGGCAGCTTTGTTAAGTTGACTTCTTTCACAAACATTAGGCTAAATAAATCTTGCTGGCCGCACACTTTTGAATGAGAGTATAGATTTGTGACCAGTTTGATTCCAACTCGTCTGTAGAAATGAAACAATAATATTAAATTCAATAAATGTTAAAAATGATTGCATTAAACATTCAGTTCAGATGAGACAACTTAAAGGGATAGTTGACCCAAAAATGAAAATTCTGTCATTAATTACTCAACATCATGTCGTTCCAAACCTGTAAGCTTTCTGACCCTGCATAGACAGCAATGCAACTACCACGTTCAAGGTCCAGAAAGGTAGTAAGGACATTGTTAAAATAGTCCATGTGACATCACTGGTTCAACCGTAATTTTATGATGCTACAAGAATAATTTTTTGACATGAAGGCGAGTAATTAATGACATATTTTTGAAAACATGTCAACTTTGACAGCCATAAAAAGTATGGTGTCTGCAGCAATCAGAGGAAAATCTGTTTCTGAAGTTTGAATGTTATTTGTTCTTAGTCTATAACAAGTACTCGACGAGCCTAATGCATATTGTACCTCTCCACAAAAAAGTTTTCTTCTATTGTACCCTGCAGGATCAAGATGAGCTGTCTTAGCACCATCAAAGACTGAAAACAGAGCGC